GTGGAGATGGGCTGCTCGAGAATTTCGGAAAGCTGAGCACAGCGAGCCTCTTCGGTTTTGCCACCGCCGTTGGTGAGCAGAATATGAGGAATGCGGATGCCAAGCTCGTTATCGCCGTTGAGCATCTTGAGAGCGACCTTGGCTTCCTCAATAGCGTGGTTACCGTGTGCCAGCACACCATCAATGTCGAAAGCGAAGGCCATGTTTTTGGCCTTGGCGGTCTTCTCCTTGTTAATGTCCTGTACCTGGGAAGCCAAGATATCCCGGGAGACTGAAGGAGCACCGCGCTGCACAGATGAGAGGCGGGACATGCGGGGAGAGCGGGGGATAGGGAGCGAAGTGCCGAAGGAGTTACGCGAGCCCCGGCGGTCTCTCATTGAGGGAGACAAGCTCAAGTTGTGCATGAATTGAGCGGCATCACTGATAGCACTGCGAGTGGCGGGAATCTCGACTGTGTTGCCGCCCGATGGGATGGCGAGGCCGGAAGCAGCACGGTCCCGAGGAGATAGAGCACCCTGGGGGTCCTGGGCGCGAGCATCCTGAGAAGCCGGATCGACTGCGAGATCGGAGTCCTCGAAGCGAGCCATGATGAAGGTGTTTGGATAAAGAGGAAGTAGAAGGATGGATGAGCTTCTGCTTGAGAATCACCGAATTCAGGACTCAGAAAACAATTGGAAGAAAAAAAAAGCAGGAGAAGGAGATTGACTGATAAAGAAACAAGTTGGTTAAGGAGGGGGGTTCAGCAGAGTATATATACAGGCCATATCTGATACCGGACTCAATGGAGACAAACGAAATTGGTATTTTGCCATTGAGGTTACGAGGGATCCACTCACCGGGTATCATCATTCCTAGGAATTATCGTCATCATTTGGCAAGATATGGGGTGGACCATTTCTCGCAACAAGACAGGCTTGTATAGGGTACCTGCGTCATTGTGGCTGACACAGTGTCTTGCTATGTACCTAATACACGGCACGTTCTGCTTCCCGTGGCCGAATTAAATCAGGAAGCTGTGGATTGGACAGGACCAGACTTGCCAGGCCGAGTATGAAGCAACGCAGCACGCCGAGTGGGTAGGAAGAGGCCTGAGACGGACGGACGATTGGACTGGAGTGCAGTTCGCCCGTGGACCGACATGAGATCGATGGAGCCGATGACGATCAGGCCAAACGCTCGAAACACCGTTTCGGTTGGTGATGTCATGGCCAAAAGCTTTCAAATTTACTAGCGGTAATTTTGTAATTTTTTTTTAAAAAAAAAATCTTATTTTCACATATCTTTCTTTTCTTTTCCTCTGATTAAAGTATTTGATAATGGCCTTGATTTTCGTGTTTTCTTTTTTTTTAATTTCCAAAAGAAGCAGAGTCAGGGGGGTTGATCGACATGTGCGGAGTAGAAACGGAAAGTAAGTTTTAGTTGCAATATATCGCATATTGAAATTCGAAGTTCAATGAAAATAATTACCTTATTCAAAATTAAATAATTCCCATTCCCAAGGTTTTCCTGCCCCTTCTACCCCTTCTGCCCCTCCACCCCTCCACCCCTCCACCCCACTTCCTAACATCGTCATGGCTCTCTAAGCTTCCCCCGCTCTATCTTCTTATCTTCTAACTCGCATCTTCTTTTCTTCTCTTTCACTTCTTGAATCACATTCACTACATTGCAATCATGTCATCTGGAAAGACTTTCACTTTGAACAACGGAGTGACCATACCTGCCGTTGGTTTTGGTACCTTCGCCAGCGAGGGCTCCAAGGGCGAGACCTACGCCGCCGTCACTGCTGCCCTCAACACAGGCTACCGTCACCTTGACTGTGCCTGGTTTTATCTCAATGAGGACGAGGTCGGTGACGGCATCCGTGATTTCCTCAAGGCCAATCCCTCCGTCAAGCGTTCAGATATCTTCGTGACCACCAAGGTCTGGAACCACCTGCACCGTTATGATGACGTCCTCTGGTCCGTCAACAACTCTCTCAAGCGTCTGCAACTCGACTACGTTGACCTCTTCCTCGTCCACTGGCCCATTGCTGCTGAGAAGGATGGCCAGGAGAAGCCCAAGATTGGTCCCGATGGAAAGGTAAGAGATGCCAGCTTTCCCCGCAACGAGCACGCGGTCAGCTCCAAACTGACCTGTCATAGTACGTGATCCTCAAGGAGTTGACCGAGAACCATGAGGAGACATGGAGCGCCATGGAGAAGTTGTACGCTGATGGCAAGGCCAAAGCCATTGGTGTGTCCAACTGGACCATTCCCCAGCTTGAGGCCATGGCCAAGTTCGCCAAGGTCCAGCCCATGGTCAACCAGATTGAGATTCACCCCTTCCTGTCCAACGAAGAGCTGGTGCAGTACTGCTTTGCTCACAAGATCCTGCCCCAGGCATACTCGCCTCTGGGCTCGCAGAACCAAGTCCCCACGACAGGCGAGCGTGTCAGCGAGAACAAGATCCTGAACGCTGTTGCCGAGAAGGGCGGCAACACCCTTGCCCAGGTTTTGATTGCCTGGGGTCTGCGTCGTGGTTACAGTGTCCTCCCCAAGAGCTCTAACCCCAAGCGCATTGAGTCCAACTTCAAGAGCATTGAGCTCAGCGATGCCGACTTCGCGGCTGTCAATGAAGTGGCCAAGTCCCACCACTGCCGCTTCGTGAACATGCGGGATACCTTCGGCTACGATGTCTGGCCCGAAGAGACTGCTTCTGGTCTATCTATTTAGATTTCCCAACTTACAGAAGGACGAGAACAACATCGCCCAAAACGGGGGATTTTGGGTGGAAATGAGTTAATGAACGGAATACGACCTCTGTTAGATGAATTGGACATACCACTTGTCGCACTGTGTTTACTATGTTTCAGCTATACCGTATACCGTAGATTGTACAGCGCATAGCTCAGAATCCTTTCAGCCGCCTCTTTCGAATTGGCCTGGCTCTGATCACCCAACCTCACACACCGGCTGCCACAGCTTTCATTCCGAAGGTCCAACCACCCGCTCAAGGTCCACCCATCAACCATGTCTACGTCCAATGAACGAGGCGAATTGAACCAAACCAACCGGCGATAAGATTACACCCGATATTAAAGAGGATGGTAAGTTGATCAAAAAAAAGAGGGAATACTAATTTACAAAAGGACCCTGCAGTTGTAACAGTGTAGTTTACTGTTCCTGGGAGAATGGCCAAGGATTCTCGACCAATAGGAAAAGCAAGCCACGCTCGAAAGAAACTTCTTGGGGTTACACTGTACCTGACAAGGCACCCACCTTGGAAAAATAACATTACCGAAGCGGCCAACAAGGACAGCCAACATACAACCATTGTCTAACTTGTACTCCGTATACTACAAGAAGATCCAATGTGATTCAAAAAACGCAACTCAAAAAAGCGGATAGCAAATTTATGAGCAAAATACAAATTAGGAGCAGTGTGCTCCGAGCCCTGCAGGCGATGTCATTTCGCGTTGGCTTGTGGCTCTCGGAAGCCCCTGCGCCACTCAAGGGGCTTAGCGTTCTCGCGCGCTTACCGTATTAGGCCCTAGCGTTGCTGACTACTGTTCGGACCGGGAGATATCGGGTGTGCATTAGGTCAGAGAATCTTCGAATCGGAAGGCGCGTTGGGGGGTGTTAACACCGAAACGCCGAATAGGGCAATGGTCTTGGATTATGTGGTCAGAGCACTATTGTCTGTGGTTACTTTGGACCTTTCCTCATTGAATTGTTGATTAGCGCCTGAGGTGTTTATTTGCTATTGGTTTACGCTGTTGAGTCTATGTATTGAACTAGTATAGTGCAGTTCTCTTCCATTGGCCCGATGAGTGACGGGATGCACTTGCTATCTCTGTGTGTTGGAATTTAATGCCTCATCTCTTGGGTAATGAGATACTCTTTGACTTTTCATTTGAGACTGTGGTCCTGCGAGTGTTGCGGGTATCCCCATTCAGCCGATAGGGGAGGAACTTCGGGGCATTAGAACCCATAGTCGAAGTTTAGTTTGTTAACCTGCTTCCTAGGCCACAATAGGTAGTGTAGTGGGTAGTAGATGGGTACTGCAATATTAGGATGGTGCAGTCTGGTTTATTCTTCATATTGGTCATGCTCCATGTCGGATACAACTGCATCCACAATGTACATTGTATCAAAGACACTGCAAGTCTCGGTCAACTAAGTTACTTGCTCTGATCCTTTGCGAATATAAAAACAAGCCAGTGTCGGCTATCGGTACGGGTAAAAACTTTGGAGGGCCGCAATATATACTTTGTGTACCCTCCCTAGTCCAAATCCTGTCAATGGGGCTCCACAAAGAACACGCTAAACTTTGTTAGCGCGGTGTATTGCAGATACTCTACGCCAATTCATGAGTTGCTACGGAGAAACAACGAGGTATCCGTATGAAATAAATCATCAAAATTACTAGTGCAGAAAGATCGGCAGGATCTACATTCACAGGATTTTGACTAGGGAGGGTAGTTGGAAGTACCTCAATTCTTAAAAAGAATCATTTGCGAGCCACTGGTAGGAGGGATCATCATTGAAAAAGACTCGCAGCCCACCGCCATATCGTAGAGCCCAGAGCTTGTCAAAGCGGCTAGGTGCATAAGCTAGGACTGCACGAATACTGGGTCCAACCCGAAGATTGTAGTCAGAGAATGAAGGACAATCTTCCAAGGCTGGAAATGAGAATGCCCCTCATACAAATCCCGAAGGAGGGGTAGAGGGGCAGAGGGGCAGCGTGGCGCAACGGCACAGACGTCATTTTGCATAGGGCAGGTGAACCGTGCAGTTAATCTTATCTTGATCAAGATGAAGTAAAACAAAGTTTCAAATTCAAGAACGCATACATGAAGAAACAAACAAGCAAACAAGCATTTGGTATCTTAAAACACGAGCAACTCCACCAGTGAAGAAATTTCGTCATAATGGGGACCAGGGTATAGAAGGACAGCAAAGCAGCCAGAAACGTAAAAGAGTCGTATAATCCAACAAGAATCGCAACATGTCCGGTAACAATCAAGTTCTCGAACGAACACGTCGAGCCGTGGGCGTGCACCCTGCGCTCATCTGAAGTATACTCTGTCGCTGTCTATCGTCTGTGCCTTGTGAGCCGCGAGTGGGAATACCACTGACGAAAGGCTGCTCCGTGATGGTGTTAGCACTCCTGGAGGCTCGTACGGGAAACCTAGACGAGCTAGGGGATTTGGGAACAAGCTTGCGACGGCCCTTGGTAGGTGTAGAGGGGGCAATATCAGCCACAGCGGACGCCGAGGCTGCGGGAGGCTTGCTTGTGCTGCAGCTTCCAATCATAACTGAGGTGCCAGATCCTGGGATCACCGAGTCACCCAAACGCCTCACCCGGCGTGAGCGCGGGTTTACAGTAGCAGGTGCAGTAGCCGGGGTTAAGCCGCTCTCCGTGGCCCCACTATCTGCATTCTTGTCTGCCTTTTGCATTTGGCTACGGCTGCTGCGATGACCAGGCTCTGCTTTCTTTGCTGTGCGCTTGCTTTCTGGTCGCCGGCGAGGGGTTGCGCCCACATCATTCGTAAATCGGTCACCCTCCTCTTCATCTTCCTGCCCGTCAATTGGTTCGCTGTACTCTTCATATTCGGCCATGCGCTCCTCATTCCACGACACTTGCTTTCGTGGTTTGTTCAGCCCACGGAAGTTAGTGCCCTTGAGAGTTGAGCCATCAGTCTCCACGCTGCCCGGCTGAGATTCTGCCTCGCTTGACTGTTGGGCCAGAGCTTCGAGGACAACCATGGGAGTTACAGATTTACCCCTGTTGAGCCGGGTATTGCGTTTTGTAGCCATAGCCACTTGCTGGGTCTCAGTGCGTTGTTGAAAAACGAATTCTGTCCCTTTGGCTCGGCGCAATGAGATGATGTTGCGCATCGCAGGAGTACTGGAGCCTTTGGTGCGAGTGCTTCGACGATTTGCAGGGCTTGAAGAAGTTTCCTCCTTGATCTCTTTGGGGACAATATCTTCCCGATCACCGGCGCCATCGACACCACGCTTGACGTCATATTTACCAGGAGAGAGTTGCGACTTGACAGGTGAAGGGGAATTGGTTGTCAACTCCTCTAGCACGCGACGTGCTGGGGGTGTTGAGCATTCAACGTCTGGTGACACCTTCATACTGGAAGGTGCCTCTGTTGTTTTCGCATCGTCAGGATGCGTGGCCTTGGCAGCCCGCTTTGCATTCGCCCTGGACAGGAAGTCGTTGAGCAGCTCTGCATCCTCTCCATCCAAGGAGCTTCGCAGTGCCGATCTAACCAATTTAACCTCCTGCTCTTGAGTCAGGTCTTGCATGGGCTCTATATACACAGCTTCGGTCTTGTCCTCTCTTGCACTGACGATCACAGTCGGCGCGTCATGACTGGATAAACAAGACTGCTGATCCTGTGCCGTGATTGCATCCGATGCTGTAAAATTCAGTTCGGTGGCCGTAGTGTCATTGTAGACCGACGTCTTGGAAGTCTTCCACAGATCGCTGAGCGGCTGGGATGACGCATTCGTAGCGATGTCGCCGGCAACATCGTTGAGGGTTCCCTCGGGCTGGTTCGCAGTGATACCAAACACCTCCTGGGAGCTCTCGTCATGGATTTTGAAATTGAATTCGGGCAATTTGCCTGGAAACCATCAGATGAAATGTCTTTCAAAAAAGTGGGAGCGCAAAATGCGACACGTGATGTGCACACAGTTCGCACAATTTATTAAGAACTTACGTCGTTTTCGAGACGCCTGCATCTCCCATTTAGTCTCAAGGAAAGACCGACCACGCTTCTCAGCCTCAGTCTCGTAATCCGCCTCAGTGGGGTCGACGCACTGGCGCTTCACGCCACGTTGATAATCCAAGTTCTTAGATGTACCAATCTCAGAGGTCTGACCTTCTGAGGCAGTTTTCATGCTGGTAAACGGAAAGCGAAAGCGCTTCCACAGCTTTCGTGTTTTGTCTCCAGCCCGGACAGGCGTCGAAGGTTTGCGATCCCACAGTCGCGGCAAGACACTTAGGGCTTTAATGGGTGTAAAACTGAAGGAACTTTCAGTGGGAGGGTTGGAAGAGCTGATGGCGCGTGAGGCAGTTTGTGTTAATGTCAAGTTTATATGGCGGTGGGTCTCAAAGTAAAGGGGAAAAAAGATCAAACCCCTGAGGGAGAGACGTGAATGATCCTCTGGACACAAAGAGAAGAAAACAACTGAATCCAGAACCAGAATAAAAGAAAGAGTTGACATACCATGCTTGTGATGAGGGAGGATGGCTCTCCATTGTTGTTGCTGAGCGTGGAATGTGTCAAAGTCGGTGGAACTCGATTTGGCGAAGTATCTTGAAGTTATTTAGATGAATCGAGTCAACTTGTCTAATATAATGCAAAGAAAAGAATACTGCAAATCAAAGAATGCTGCTGAAAGTGCCCCTCAGTAAAATGTTGAATTGTCGTGATGGATGCGAAAAGTCATGAAGCGGGCCGTTTGTGGTTTTGCTTTGATCTCTATTGACTCGTTGCCCTGCCAACCACCGCATGGGAGCCCAACGTGGGCTTGGTGGCGATCATGATTGTACGTTGTACAGGATTCCATGAGAAATCGCGTGATGTCAACTAGTGCAATTGCAATCATTGTCAGCGCACAAATACTGAAGAATTCAGAGTGTCCATAGATATCTCGATCACATTTCTTAGCCAACGAAGACTAGCAAACTACTGCCCCAAGCACCGCAAACATATATAGCACAGGAACCCTTCCCTTCCCCCCTGAAGGGGAAGCAGACTGGAATCACGACGTGGCTCTGAAGGTTTGCTATATCTTACAGATGTATCTCCATAAAGCTCGGGCATTAAATGCATTTCTGGTAAAGCCACCTGACAGGGTAGCAGGCGACATTGCTCCCAGATAGCATGGAAGGAGCCTGGAATGGCTTTTCTTTGGGCCGTATGGCAGTGCATTTAAGGCACGTTCGCCGACAGACACCCCCCGTAGGCGATGGAAGACTAACCGACTTATCGGAGACCAAATGTGCCCCAAGAACCACAAGCTAAAGAATCAAGTCGTGTCTCATTATTCATATCCGTTTGTGAGAAAACAGTCTCCGAGTATGTAGACTCATAGCAACTTTTCCGCCAAGTCACGTTCATCAAACGGGTCCCCGAATTCATCTGCACACAAGGCAGCCAGTCAGCATACCATTCAGACACCCATGGATGGAACACAACAAAATCTAGATCAAGCAGATATAGCAAGACACATACCCAGATTGAAGTCTTTATCAACAACATACTCCATCGCACGCTGGTACTCCTCTTGAGCGCGTTTACTCTTCCACGCCGCAATATTCGACTCAATCATCTTCTCTGTAGGTTGTCCTCCACGCTGTTCCAGCGCAGTCCCAATATCGCCCATAGAGGTGCCGGATTCTTGCTTTGTCTGGGAGCCAGGAGGGGAAAGCTCTGATACGTCAACGTCCGCCGAGGAAGCTTGGGCGGTGCCGGTCGGAGTACGGGCGCCGGTTCTAGCACCGTCGGGACGGATGGAGTCGACAGAGGAGGTCATTGTAGAGTCACCGTCTGGGTCTTTGGGATCTGGTAGGTGCTTGTTAATGGATGTAACCCCCAGATTTTATTGTAGCGAGGAAGAAGAGGCGGATGCACATGGTGGATATGGAGCGCTATCGATATCGCGGGCCCACTGTGCCTCTTTCGGCTACTTCGTATAGTTTTGAGGGAATGGAGGAGACCTACCAATCGCCATGGTTGACCAGGAATTTAAAAAAAAATGGAGTTAGATGCTCAAGTTGTAGATTCAAAAGTTCGTAAACTTCACGGCGCGGGGAGTGGAGAGATCAACGGTCGACAGGCGGTGGCCCCGGGGCTCGTATGAATTTTCTTCTTCTTTCTTCCCCGGCTTATATACTCCATGAACATACAAACTATTGCTGGCCTTTGTGATTAGCATACTTTCATAAGAGTTTTTTTTTCGAACCTCCCTCTTTATTCTTTATTCTACTTCATCCTGTGTGCAATGAGCGCAAACTCCGGTGTTGTTCCCGATGCCTGGGAGGATTCATGGGAAAACCAAGCAGATGTATGTAGTACCAGGAATAGTGTTTGATATCGGGTACAGATTATAGCCTGACATTCAACTTTACTCAATGCTTACAAGGCATGAAGGGTATGCTGATGGTCATCATTTACAGAAACTGGACTCCAAGTCTACCCCGCCGTCCGAGAAGAAAGTCTCATCCAAAGTGACCAAGGCGCAACGCAGGGCGGAACAGGCAGAGTTCAATCGTCAGCTATGGGCTGAAGCGTAAGTTTCAATCACTAACTAGCTCCTGTTGTATTTTGGCTTGTTCAAAAGACTGAATTGGGTCGCAGTGAATCCACAGAAACATTCCACTTCGTTGAAGCGCGCGCCGATGTTCCCCTTAAGCATGACTTCAAGCCCGCAGTTACATTGCTGAGTCGGAAACCCCAGCTTGTGACAAGACAGTCATCATCATCATCATCATCATCCTCGAGGGCTATTAATGCCGCAGCGGCTGGACTTGGCCGACTCGGACTAGACGATGACGACGACTCGGACGATGACGCCAAGCCGCCCCAGCCAACACCCGAGGAGCGCCATGCTATTGCGCTGAAAAATCGGGAGGAGAAACAGCGGAAGTACGAAGAAGTGCGTGAACGTCTATTTGGAAGCCCCTCTGCTACAGCTTCGGGTACCTCGTCGCCTGGCAATACAACCCCGCCTCGTCAAATTTCTACAGGCGAGGGCCGAGGAAGAGGCAAAGGTCGTGGAGGCGGAAGAGATCATCCAAAGAGAGATTCTTCGTCGACCTCGAGCAAGTCCTCTAGACATCTCTACGATCCCTCCACTTCGGCCAAGTCAAACGCACCCTTCTTACAGAGAGGAGGCCGTCCGCAAGTTGAGCGAAGTGGCTCCGACACTCAGGCTCCACAGCAGCCGGTGCGCAGTCCTCGGGGCCCTGATGCAAGTGGGAGGGGTGGCTTCAATTTCAATCGAGGTGCTCGAACTGGCTAATATACTTTTGGCCAACATCTTTCCTTCCCAGGAGACTGGCCATCACACACCGTTGCCCTGTTAAGGGAGGCCTCGTCCTGCTTTTATTGCACTTGCGACCTGAGATGTGTTTGGGCGGTTTTCTGCGACACCAAGTGTTAGTAGTGCCATTTCAAACGCAAGGCATGCGATGCTCACGGGCATATCGCTCATAGCTGTCGTGGTACAGCTCATCCGTGCTAGTTGTCGCCTGCACATGCTGGCTGGCCTCGATTGCATTCATCCAAATGGCAAGCCTGCTTCCCTCCTCGGCATCTGGCCATCCTCTGTATGGTTTCAGGACTCGCCGCAGCCGAATAATCCACGGTGCAGCTTGAACGTCCACAAGGGACATCTGCGGGCCCATGAAGAAGGGCCCTTTGGGATGCGCCACCTCCAGCAGCTTCTCCATCGCATCTCGCAGCTCCTGTGTCTTCTCGATCTGTTTCTGTTGATCCTGCTCTTGCAGTATACGGTAGAAACTCGGCACGATATGCCGATTGACCTGAAGGGTCATCAGTGATGATCAATAGAACGAAACTGTCTGTCTACTTACATGTTCTGCCCACAGACGGCAATGGGCGCGTAGCTTTGGGTCTCCTGGGAGCATTGCAGCTCCTGCGCCCAGATCCTCCAGCTGCGAGGGATTCGTCAGAGTGATGGAAATGGGGAATTGGCCACTCGCGTTTCTTACATATTCCAACAACACGTTGCTTTCATAGCACCCCCAGTCGTCGTGCCGCAGAGCAGGAACAAGCCCCCTTGGATTCACCTCTAACAGCGACTGGGGCTTCTCGTATGGATCCACTTCGATGTATTGGTACGGAATACCTTTCAGTTCTAATGCAATCCATACCCGTTGCACGAAGGGACTTCCAATATGCAGGCCAAGTCAATACACAAAAAGCTTTTTGTCAGAATGAGTCGAATCCGAGGTTATCTCACCAGAAACAGCTTCCATATAGCTTGAGATTAACATCGGCGGAGTGCTTGATCGCAGTTTCAGCGGCCAGACCCGTCGCTTTTGTATGGTATGACTTTTGGCCTGTTTGAGACATGACTCGATCCTATTTTGTATTTTATGTTAAAATCGCGCAATCCAAAAATGCTAGAATTGGAAACAAAACGATGAAGACTTGATCTTTGGGTGATGCCAGTGTAGATATGTGACGTAGCCAGGATCGTGCGGGGATACTCGTCCAAGTCTGTGCAAATGAACAGAACAAACCAGGATTGACATACCGCTCTCGTCTTCTTGTCTTTCTTTTCTTTCAGAACATGTCGCTGCACACTACTCTTCTTGACACGATCGCTCTCTTCAAGCGTGTGTTGATGACCGCCACTCACGCCGTCATTCTTCCCGTTGGCACCATTGCCATTCACCCGCTGTATGGTGAAATATCTCCCACCATTCGATCCCGGATGATTTGGTGGTATGCCAGGGTTCGGCGTGAGCACACCAAATGTTTGGGCATTTCGGATCGCAGGGTCATCGTTAAGAGAGAAAGTATACATACCGGGTAGGATGTTAGATGGAATGGGCTCGATTGTATGGGTCGTGTCTGATATTTCCGACACTGGGAAGTATTCCACGACCTTGATTTTGACATGGCAGAGATCCCGTTCTCTGGCCGTACGCTTGCGCTTTTTTTTTTCTGGGTCATCGGACTTGGGGGTTCCCGGCGGTCGTCCTTTTAGTCGACAATCCCAGTAATGAGAGACGAAAGGTTTACGCTTGTATCGCTGGGTTGAGCGATGAGAGTACACGTTGTCAACGTGAGGGAAATAGGTTTGAAATCTGTAGAAAGTTTGTGCAAGTCAGCCCCTCGGCAGAGTAGAAAGAATGCCCACATTGGGGTCTGCATACTCCTCTTCGCTCAGGGTGATCATTTCATCAACATTGAACAACCTATCTCTCCAATAATCCAGGTGCGGAGGGTTCGGGACCGCTTTGAAGCCCTGCAGTTCTCCAGGCCCAGTGAAGGACACTGGATCTGTGGAGCTAGAATCTAGGCCGATAAATTCTGGTTGAAACGCTTGACTCGGCGACAGCAGCGTTGTTAAGCTGTTACTCTGAGCTTGACGGGCGTTGTTTTCCATCACTAGCTCGATTTGGGACAGCGACGCTGGAGGCGCCATTTTTCCACCAGCAGCGCCATGCAATGCCCCGCCCACCTTTGCTGCATGAGCAACGGCGGTGTTGTAGTTCTGCGATTGACGCAAACCACCAGAGGATTGTCCTTGCGGTTGTAAGGGCGAGGCAACTCCATTGCTAGGGTGACCTTGGTGCGATTGGTGTTGTTGTGTGGATGAAGAGGCGATGAATTTTTTCGCTGCCTCGCCTGATTGTGGAGGACGCATAAACGCATGCGTCGCGTTCTGGAGCTGTGATTCAGCTCCGGTCGGAGGGCGGAATGGCCCGAAGGGCTGCAATTCTGGGTCAAATTGGCCCAAATGTACGTTGGACTGGTCGTTTATCGGCATAGATGGTCCCAAACGGGGCGATGAAAGTCGCAGTTCAGAGTCCATGCTGTAAAAATATAAAGATGTGGAGAGGCGTGCTGCTTTTGGGGGAGAAGAAGACGGTTGAAGCGGCATTGTGGGGTTGAGGGAAGCTCGGATCATCATGAGGTTCTCAGGTCCTTAAAAGCAATGTCTGGGTATCTATCGATTCTTCTTTCTTCGAACTAGTTGCTAGTAGGTTTTTGAAGAACACACTGTTTTCAGATGCTAAGTTATCGAGATATTACCATCTATTTGCATTGAATCCATAGATGCAATACTGATTTCAGTGAACAGCCCCACACAGCTTACAGACCCTTCCGATGTTTCTTAGCTGCTTCCGAATTCTTGAAAGGGAACCCTGTCATCCTCTTGTCTGCACCCGTACGGCGGCTTATCCTGCCGTTGCTGCTAGCAAAGAGCATGCACCATAACCCAATTGCCGCAATACTAGAGTATCCAGCAACAGCAACAGCAAACAAACCCTGCCCACCAGTAACATACCAGGTGTACGCGTAGAAAGCACATGCGGTATGGAAGATAGAGGTTACCACTAGAGTCGGCATAGCGTATGGCGCCTTGGGATCATCCTCGTCTGTTGTCACAGACTCCTTGATGTCGGACGTCAGAGGGATGGAGCCAGTTAGCATCATGGTTAAAACGGCTATAGTAAGGAAACTAAAGCCGAGGCATCGGGCGAAGTAAATTTCCATTGCTTTTGAAGGGTGAAGGATTAGCACGGCTCGTAAACGGACGCTCGCGGCATTTTCGGGATGTGGGCCACACACGGGAAATAGGCCGAGTCTCGTCAAGCAGCATAGTCACTATCATACTCGGCCCAGCAACCAAAGGCAAGCTTTGAAGTGCCAGCCATGCAGCCGTCGAGTATGTGTAGGCGTGAAAGACCTGTCAACTTAGTTGTCAGCTCCGGTTCCGAGGCCGACCTTCCATAGCTTTGGAGAGAATGATAAGATTAGCTCACATCCATGGTAGCAGTTCACTGGTTACGGCTTTTCAACGTTGAGTATTGAAGCCTTCTTGTGATATGGAAGTAGCCCTTGTCAAGAATTGGACTGATCCTAGGAAGATGGAGCTTCTAAGCGATCATTTCCTCTTCGAGATTGAAGCATTATGGTGAAGTGACGTCATCTAGGTACAGTGATGTTTGACTTGTTTGAACATCCATGCTTGTCAATTTGGGGAGGTATCGGTGTGCTTATCGACTGACTACCCAACTATTTACAGAGAAGGAAGCTTTATGGAACCTAGACCTTGGAGGGCACTCAGGGACGTGCCCAATTTTGCGAGGTGATGGAGCACAAAAGGGAAAGAGAAAGGTCTTGAGTGCCAGGCATTGTCCGATCTGCGTGTAGACGTAAGCAAATGCTCAACTGTGTATGTTGCTACATCAAGATGAAGACAAAGGTAGATCTAAATGGGATTTTATAACTGGGATTTATTGACTAGGATGTGTGCAATGAATGAAATGCGCCTCTACGACCACAAACTCCTGGAGACCGAAAGAGCCCATTGGAAATAATTAAGACCCACTAAAAGCTGTTTCATGAAAGATATCTTCACCGTTGCATACTGCTTGCGCGCAAATATCTTGTGAAGCTGTTATCCTGCTCTGATGGAGCACTTTGGGAGCCTGCCAGAGCTTCCTGGTAACGCTGGGAAAGGCCCTGGTCATTGCCAGCGTTAGGGCCCACATAGTCCTCATAGTCACTGTCTTCTCCATCTGCCAACCCGCGCTTGATGATATCGTCTTCTTCATCTTCGGCTTCACTGACAGTCTCGGGCTCTCCGGTGGGTTTCTTCGGCTGCCGATTTGACCCAGACACATTCATGTCTTTCATTAATTTTCCAAGTTCAAGCTCCCGCTGGGACGATGTTTGATCTTCCCGCTCTTTCTTCTTGCGCTCCAATTCGGGCTTGTAATCACGTTCAAATTCCTGTCGCTTCGTTTCCACAGCCTCGAAAAACTCTTCAACACCATCACCGGTCATTGAGCTGACGCCGACGACGCTGAGGTGACGATAAAATTCTTCCAACATAAGACTCATGCTGTTCAGGAGGGATCCCATGTATCCGCTACCAGAGCCAAAGCCACCAGCACCGCCTTCAGCTCCAAAGGCGCCCGAGTCTTCCTCCTGCCGCAGAGCCTGCTGAAATGCGTCAAAGTCGGTCATCCATTCTTTGGCAAACTCAGCATCCTTGACATCAGTTTTGTTGAAGACCAAGATCATGGGGAGCTTGGTCTTGTACAAGATACTGCACGCGTAGAGCATGTTACTCATAAAAGTGCTGGTAGAGCTTGCGCGAGGTGTATCGATTACATATGCGATGACCGTCGGGAATGATGTCGCCATAGTCTCAAGAAGGATACTGCCCGATGCACTCCAGACAAAAACTTCGATTTGGCCGGGTGTGTCGACCAGAATGTGCTCGATTGGCTTTGCGGAAGGGTTTTCGGAGTTCGGGGCGGTGCGCTTCTCCAAGAGCGAGATGATTTGATCAACCTTGGTGGCGAACAAATTTAATGAAGTCAAGATTCCTCCGTTAGGTCCCAGGTTGTACTGCTTCATCACTTCTTTATAATTAATCGAATCGCGGATATCGATGTTGCTCTCAAAGGGCACCGAGTGCACTGCGGGGTCGAGGTTGATCACATATGGCACGGTCTTCTTTTCATGCAGATAGGAGTTGATTCTTTGCATAAAGGTAGTCTTGCCTGAGCCTATTCATTCCATAATATTGACGATTAGATTGGTGTAGAAAAGTGAGGGGGCGATCAGCGCATCAGTCTCCTTACCTGCCATGCCCACGCAGACCACGGACACCGGAGATGGCATAGTGAATGTAGTCTATTTAAAGAATAACTCGAGTAAGCGATTGAAATACGGAGACCTCTGTGGTCAAGTTATGGTGTTCGATGATGGAAGACAAGTGAAGAAAGATAAGCTTCTTTTTTTTCTCGAAATCTTTTTTTTTGTCGCGGGGAAAGATCTACGGCTGGACCGCCCGGCATTTTATAAACGTCATTCTACCGTTTGCCCTCTTCAGTTCCACCTCTTATTAACATACCAGAAGCACCATGACTCTAGAAGAATTTGAAAAGTCACTGGCAGAGGGGAAGGAGCACCGACACGAAAATAGCGAAGGGCGACATCATCGAGACCGAACCCGTGATCGCGACCGCAGCAAAGACCGCTCGAGACAACACCGCCATCGTTCCAGCAACCATCACCGACGCCATTCCTCGAGATCCCGCGATCGGGACAGCGAGCGAACTCGTGAGTCCCGGCATCGCGACGATGATGGTCACCGGCAAAAACGTTCACGTCGTTTTGACGATCAAGGAGACGAGCATGGCCATAAACGTCATCACCGGAACTCCAAAGACGAGGGGGGGTCCGCTGCACCTCCAGTAGTTGTACAAGAGGAGCCCAGAAATCTCAAACGTGACGCCTGGATGGAAGCGCCCTCGGCTCTAGATGTTGATTACGTTCACCGACCGGATTCGACGCGACAGGAAGAGCCGAAACCAATAATGCTTTCGGCAGACTACGAACTCAAGATCCACGACAAGGAGCTCAACAACCATCTACGCGATCTCAACGATGGGAAAACAGTCGAAGAAATAGAAGATGAGCCTGCCTCGCATGAAGTGGACTATACCTTTGGGGACTCGGGGTCACAATGGAGAATGACGAAGCTTAAAGGCGTTTACAGAGAGGCGGAAGAAAGCGGCAAGCTCGTTGATGAAATCGCCATTGAGCGGTTTGGAGATCTTCGCTCCTTCGACGACGCTCGGGAGGAGGAAACCGAGATTAGTCGGCGCAAGACATACGGCGAATCCTACGTGGGCAAAGATAAACCTAGCGGGGAGCTATTCCGGGAAAGGAAACTTCTAAACGGTACTCGCAGAGCTCCGCTCGAACATGATCGCGATCCAGAGCAAGAACTCACAGTCGAGGGCCAAGGCAAGCAAATGGAGACTGTGCCTCTTCCGAACACTAGCCGTCACCTCGACATGACGGCACTAAATCGTCTGAAAGCCCAGATGATGAAGGCAAAGCTCAGAAAAGCATCAAATGCCGCCGATCTTGAGGAACAGTACAACACTGCCGCGGCAGCAATGTCAAACCGGAAGGAATCCGATGTCGTGGTCCTCGATGTTATGCATAACCCGATGCTAGCCGGTTCAAGGAATGAGGTCAAAGCAGTTGAAACTAAGAGAGGCCGGGAAAGAGGCCAGGTGGAAGCAAATGAAGATATGAGCATTGAAGACATGGTGCGAGAAGAGCGTAAAACCCGTGGCCAACTCGGTGGAGAGGGCCGGCGGTTAGCAGATCAAATTGGCCGTGACGCCAAGTTCGAGGTCAGTTCTAGAGGTACATGTGATGGTCCCCAATTCCCCTGCTGACCCGTCTCTAGAACGATTTGGAGTACATGGACGACAATGCATCCAAGCTGGCCAAAAGAGTTCATCGATCTGAAATCGATCTCAAGAACACAACGATCAATGACTTCCACAAGATGAACCGTATATTGGACAACTGCCCCCTTTGCCACAACGAAGACAAGGGCACTCCTCCACTTGCCCCAGTGGTATCCCTTGCGACCAGGGTCTTCCTCACACTTCCTACCGAACCTGAGATCAGTGAAGGTGGTGCTACCATCGTACCAATCCAGCATCGCACTAATTTGATGGAATGCGATGATGATGAGTGGGAAGAAATCCGCAACTTCATGAAAAGTCTCACGCGTATGTACCACGACCAAGGTCGAGATGTAATCTTCTACGAGAATGCAGCTCAGCCACAGCGCAAGCGACATGCATCCATGGAAGTCGTACCTTTACCCTACAGCTTGGGAGAGACCTCTCCTGCATTCTTCAAAGAAGCAATTCTCAGTGCCGAGTCAGAATGGTCACAGCACCGCAAGCTCATTGATACCCTTGCCAAATCAAAACAAGGGCTAGGCCGGTCTGCCTTCCGCCGAACTCTCGTGAAGGAGATGCCTTATTTCCACGTTTGGTTTGAACTAGATGGTGGCTTGGGTCACATTGTGGAAGACAATAACCGCTGGCCTCGTGGAGATCTCTTTGCCCGAGAGATCATCGGAGGAATGTTAGATGTTGCGCCGGACATGATTAAACGACAAGGACGCTGGAACCGCGGTGATCGCAGGGTTGACGGATTTAGGAAACGCTGGAAGAAGTTTGATTGGACCCGTATTCTGGTTGAAGGCTAGCGAGTTCGGAGTTGGTCTCTCGGCACATTGTACAGATGTGGCTGAACATTTATTTGAACCGCAGTGGGTTTCATTTTTGAAATTTTGAAACTTGCAGTCACCATGGTATTTTCGCGTTTTTTTTTTTCTAATAAGTTCACACAACATTAAACTGGTTAGTAAATGCACCACTCACAGGCAACATCGTAATAATGTCAACAGATAACGATATCGGCATCCAAGCCGATGGCTACATACGGGACAAGACACCGGTCACTCCGCAGTTGAGTATCATGAGTTTACCTTCTTATGTAGAACTAGATCAGTATAATAGCCGATATCAGAATGGTCTTTCGAAGATTCATAAACACCAACAAAGCCCTGGAAACGGGGAACTTGCCCGACAAGCGGGGCTCCTTCTCGGCCGATGCAATAGATTGCAGTTTATATAACTTATGAAGTTATGACTTTTATTGACTCGAACTTATATGTCTTCAGTTGGGTTTGAATCTATTTGTGTCTTCAAACCCCTCTTGCATCAACTAGGTCAATTGACATCTTGACCGAACACCAACACTGAGCTTGCTTATTGGTAAGTTCAGACATGTCAAGAGAAGGCGTCGGAATACTTTGATCCGAAGTAAAAAAAATTGAAGAGAGAATCCTTCGAATTGACTCTACATTCCTCTCCTGCTCAAATCACTGATGTTCTCGCTTAATACAGAATACAACAGAATGAGTTCTACCGTCCCCAAGCCCAAGGTCACTCACCTTGGGAGTATCGACCAGTGCACTCCATTCTTTGTCGTTGCACCGTTGAAATATATTTCCTACTAATTTGAGCACAGTGCACAGACAGCTTGGAATGCACTGGGTAAAATAGCAGAGCTAGTCGAGTCATCGGCAATCAACCGAGCCGAGTTCATCCAAGAGTGCAAAGACGGCAAGCTGGATGGCGTTGTTGCGACATACCAAACAATTGGCTCCGTAGCCCTAACAGGGCTCGTAGACGAGGAGCTATTGAACGTGCTCCCAAGCTCACTCCGTTATATTGCGCATTGCGGTACGTCGAGCTTAGAACATGAATGCCCTGGAGTGCATTTGTTAACATGGAGTCTGTGTAGGAGCCGGATCTGATCAAGTGGATGTTCACGCCTGCAGTGCACGCAACCCCCCGATCCGAGTCTCCAATGTCCCAACTGCAGTGGACGATGCCACCGTCGACGTGAACATGTTCTTAATCCTCGGCGCAATGCGCAACTTCAGCGCCGGTATGACCGCCTTGCGCGAGGGCAAGTGGCGTGGCAACCCGGCGCCTCCTCTTGGCCATGACCCCGAAGGAAAGGTTCTTGGGATTCTGGGAATGGGTGGCATTGGACGTAATTTGAAGAAGAAGGCGGAGGCTTTTGAGATGAAGGTCATCTATCATAACCGCCGCAAGCTCAGTGATGAGATGTCTGCTGGTGCTTAATATATATCTTTTGATGAGCTCCTGTCCACCAGTGACGTAGTCAGTTTGAATCTTCCATTAAATGTAAGTTGTTCTCATTTTCAAAACAAAATGGAGGCTATTGTGACAGTGACTGAGAGGATACAATGTCTGGGTCGGTCCCACTTCAACCTTGTACTATTAACACGCAAAGGTCTCACAACGGCGCTTAACGAGAAGATCCACAAGCCAATGAGAGGCCAGTCTGCATCCAGATAGCCCTGGAAACAGAAGCAACCTGCAAGAGCAGACACCCTCCCACTGAGAGCCAAGGTTGATCAACACGGTCTTGAAGGAATCACGTGGTGGTGGACTTCCTTCGCTAATGGGCAACGTGATGCGTGTCTTCTTAAGCAGTGAGGTCGAAGAACTACCTGCCATCCTTACATGCTCCGCCTCTAATGTTAGCACTAAGGTCTCCTGCTTGTTTAGGGGTTGCTTATACAGAAGCCCAACACATTTAGGTGCTCTCCATCGCAAATCAACATCAAACCTAAAGCCTCTTTTGCATCACACAACTAGCACAATGTCAAGGAACCCTCTGCTTTCTACACAGTATACGGGCCTGTCTGGTCGCATTTACACTATAGAACACGTTTTACAGGAGGATGTTTCTCCGCCACGTCATGTTTATCGTGCCTCGTGAGTAGACACCGAAGCCTCCCCATGTTGACACGCTTATACCTCCTTCAGGGCGGACGGCCACAAGTTCATATTGAATTACATACACCCCGTCAACTTTGAGAATCTTCAAGATGTCAACAACCGCCTACGTGGCAATGCAAGCCATGTCTGCCTTGCTGTGGACACTATCCCTGACAAGTCTATGTTTGTTTTCAAACACTTCGCAGATCATCTCTTAACCCTTGCCCAGAAGGACTTGCCCCTTATAGTGATTAAGAGAATTCTCAAGAAGGTTCTTACTGGGATTGCTGAGCTTCATGATTGGGATATCGTTCACACAGGTATTTTTCCTGCTCTTTTCTTGGAATACTGGAGAACAACTTAATCTTCATAGATATAAAAGCTGACAACGTTTTCATTGACTGGCAGAATCAAAATGATGAAATTTGTGTTGACAACGTTCAACTTGGAGATCTCGAACATGCAGCTCACATTCCCCCCGGGTGCGCTATGATTGGGAAACAGGCAGGCAACCGGATGTGGAGAAGCCCCGAAGCCCACGCAAGAGGACCTGTCAACAAACCTTCGGATGTTTTCTCGTTTGCTCTTGTTGTAAGTCCCACAGCCGGAAATTTCTCAAGCGCCGTTAGTAACCAGCTGCCTAGTGCATCTGCGCCGTTCATAAGCGCATCATTTTCGCAGTTCGAGAAGACGAATTGGAAGAGGGTGTCGATCCCCTCGCTGTCACAATCGAGCGCCAGGTCTCTTACTTCGCAGATGAAGATGGGCTCAATGGGTTTTGAGGCATCTTGGTGAAAATCCATGGGGCCGCGCTTTCGAAGCGACTTGGGACGGATTCAACCAGGAGACCCCGCGCGAGCCATTCGCATTCTGTAATGGCGTTGATGATGACTTTAAAAGCCTTTAATGTTGCCATCCATACTGAAAAGTGCGCGGAGTGCAAAATTTAAGTACACATCGGACTGAGCAGTCGGCCACTCCTAGGGTATTGATAATATAATTTACGAGAGAGCCGGACACTTGTCTAGTAAATCAAAATCAAATTTATGTTTTCCCCAACCAAACAATATCAAAATATGTATTAAGAAACTGTACAAGAGTACTCTTACTCTGGAACTGTAGGCCCTTCCTATACCCAGTCATTAGCATTATTTAAACTAGGGACAAGTTTCTAGTAGCGCCCCTAGGCTAGTTCCGAGTTTAGGATTACTAGCCTTAGTTTGTTATTAACAAGGGCTACTATTTAAAAATGTAGGTAAACCAAAAGACTACTCTCAGCGTTACCTTACTTTCACTTTACTTTGCTCTTGTTTACGTCTTACAATTCCTTCATTTCTTCTCTGGTTACAAATAGAATTCACCCATCTTATGATACTCTAAGGGACATCATCAAACTTAATCTGGGGGTTTGTGTTAGATCATCCCGTAGATGTTTGCCTACGGACTGAAGAGTTTGCTTGCTAGTCCTATGGTATGTTAGGTATAAATACCCTATTCCCATAGTGTGATATACCCTGCTCCTCACTTCTTTACACTTTTTTGTCTCAAGCAGGAGTGCCGGCTTTATAATTAGTCTCCAAACTAAATACATAGAGAGCTATACATATACCTTGTACATCGAAGGTGGTGAAGGGAAGCTCCAATTGATTGGCCAAGAGAGTGGGGTACCCACGTCGTTTTCTGCCGGACAATATCAAAAGTGATCAACGATCAATCCACCTACTTGTCTTATGTGAAATCAGCACTCCGTCATGGCCGAATTCTGGAAATCAGCAGTCAGTGTGCATTTTGACCTATCTGGAATCCTGCTAACCATTTCATAGCCGCGCTACTGGTGCAAACAGTGCAAAATCTTCATCCGTGACACGCCCTTTGAAAAGACCCAACACGAAGCCAGCCCCAAACATCAAGGCAGCCTCAAGCGCTTCCTGAGACAAATCCACAATGACAATGAACAAAAACAAAGAGACTCGCAACGCGCGAAAACCGAAGTCGAGCGATTGCGACAGGCCGTCGGTGGCGAGTCCTCCACGGACAAAGACAGTGCGAAAGTAAAAGCATCGCCAGTCCCCAAACTCACAGAACGGCCCGCTTCCCTGGAGGAGCGAAAAAAACAGATGGCACAGCTCGTGGCAATGGGTGTTGCCGTCCCCCAGGAGTTCCGTGCTGAGATGGCCTTGGCAGGGGATTGGGAAACGACATCAGAGACAAGGATCGAGGTCAAGCAGGGATTAGAGGGCCCCACAAAATCAGTTGGAATACGCAAGCGCAAACTTGAAGGCGAAGAGGAGGGGGATGAGCATGCGCCTGAACCTATAATCAACAAAGGTTGGGGCTCGAGAATGAGGCAATACCCCGGTGCACCAGAGGAAGAGGGCCTGGATGACCTGTTTGCATCCACAAAAGATATCAAGAAAACGAAAATCTTCACCCCGAAGGTTGAGCTCGATGAACAGGAGACAGTCACCGTACAACCTACCCCTACCGCGGAGACAGAAGACATTCCTGCCAAGCTAGAGGCCCAAGAGACGAAGGAGTCAATTGAGGTCAAGATTGAAGAGCCCACTCAATCTTCAACAGATCCAGTCATCGAAGCAAAACCCCAGGGTGAAGATGCTGCTCCCGGTGTCATCTTCAAGAAGCGCAAGCCGAAGGCAATGAGGAAATAGTCGTACCTTGATGTGATCTCTGCAAAATTTCCTTGTCACAGCACCAAAAAATGCAAGCTCAGGTCCTTGATCATCTGAATACATCGTGGGGTCTTAAACATCCGGCCACCAATCCATCGGCCTTGGCCCATGACCCCGCAAGTCTGCAACCGTGTTGCTTTGAACAGTATGCACACAATCCACAACTCTCATTGCGTCAAGCGGTATCAGAGATGCACCAAAGTTTCCGACAAAAGATTTATGGCAGAAATCTCTTTCCCCAGGATGTACACTTCGAATCCATTCACCCGGGATCATTTACAAGCCTAATCCTTGTGTGTTGATTGTCGGTTTCTCAACCCGTCCCCTTTCCATGGGCACACGTGCAGCTCTAAAGCTTGATTCTCTGGATATGTAGGGTTCAAACATGTCAAACCCTCAGGACAATCTATAGCTTTCATGGATTGAGTCCATGGATCTAGACCAGAAGTGCCTAGACCAGAAGTGCCTAGACCAGAAGTGCCGAGTGCAACACTATTAATTCGATACTACTAATCGAATTTAAGAGAAGATGATAATCTCAGCAAAAATTTCGGACGGCAAATTAATTAAGCGTTGGTAGTGTAAATAAATATACACACAAGTACAGAGCCTCGGAATATGCAATGTTGGGGTAGAAAGCGGTGTTTGCCACTATAATTTTTTTTCCTTCGCAATCAAAGCGGAGAGTTCCAACGCCGGAAGGGAAAGCTCCTTAAGCCTCTCTTTCACGCTTTTCCTAACCTCCAACCCTCGCATTTGCATAATATCCCTGCCATTTGGGTTTCTGTCGATCTAATTCTGTTAATCTATGTGCCTGGTAAGTCTTTGAAATTCGAGCAAGTCGCGATACCCGCAGCCCAATCCCTCGACATGCGCATCGTCTCGCGCCGGAGCCTCACCTAGTGCGATACCATGTCCAAAATTCCTACTGCGAAATAAAGTCATTGAGTGCTGGGGTCTACCTCGTGATGCTTTTCCGGGACCCCTTGGGAGTTGTGAGCAGATGGTTGCATTTCGAGGCTGGTCGGCCACCACGAATGCGACCTACAAACCCTCAATTGGCTAGCAGGATATCTGGACAGGCCACGAGGTGTCTATATCTTTGATGTGGAAATTTGTACGAATGCACAGTCTTTGCGCTCAGTACTATATTCTACGCATGGTTTATTCGCCGATTGGATTAAAAGATGTGGAAATGGAGGGCCTGCGCTAGCGGTGCTTCTTTCCTGGCGATGCTCATGATCGACACCGAGGACCTTGTCTTTACCGCGCCCTATCACTTTCCCCTACAAAACACTCGCGAAATTGCTGGCTGAAAATTTTGACTAATAAATGCTGGACACCACAGATCATAGGGAATAAATGATTTCTAACTCCCCATTCGTTCGACCTGGTGTGATTTCTTCGCTCAGCCACAAACCAGACGACCTTTGACCTTGCCGACTCGAATATTCAAATTCTCGACCCCTACTAAAGACTTGTCTCTGAAGCGTACTTGCAAAACACCTACCAATTTTCCCAACCGATTGAGGCTTTCCTTGGGAGACTGAAATCCAATATGGCGGAGCCGACGGACTCGAGCGCCCCGCCTGGCGAATCCACTACTCTTGCGATCGAACCGAATACACCCGTCGTTGAGACAGCCCAACCTTTAGCCCGGAATGATCCGCCTCCAGTGGAAACGAATCAATCCCCCGTGGAAACAAGCCAAGAACCGGCTGCGCCAGCAGAACCAGCAGAACCAGCACCACCCGAACCGCTAGTGAAATCAACATCTCCAGAAGTATTACGAACGCCGGACGTGCCAACAGAGCTAAATACGTCCGTCGCAGGCCTACCACAGGATGTGAGCATGTATCAGTTCGAAGAAGCCACCCAGCCAGCACGGGGTCCAGATGTGACTTTACCGTCTGTTGAATCATCACTTCCACCGATTGATCCAGCACTTCCAGCCATAGACACATCAAATGGCTTCGATGATTCAGAATTGCACTCCTTTGATGCGTTGCCTTCAATAGGTTCATCTGGGCCCCCGGACATGTCACTACCTGCGATTGATACAAGTCTCCCATCTCTCGACCATTCCTTACCAGCGATTGGAACCGATGATATTCCGACAATGGATGGTCATGATTTTGGCGACAATAGCCATTTGGATCATCACGATTCAAACGTCGGCATGGCAGACTCTACGGGTGGGCATGACAATGGGATTGTGAATGGTGCTTCTCACTATCATTCGACCAACGGTTCGTACCAATATTCGCATAGTCCTGCTCAAACACAGCAACCAGGAAGCCAGCAGTCACCACAGACGCATACCCACCAGTTTCAGGCACAGCCGCCACATTATCAGCAAAACGACATGTATCACAATTCCGGTTCCCAAGGACAGGTGCCACAGGCACCAATTGGATCGCCGCTCCCAAACAATATGCCTCCGATGGCTTCTATGGGACAATACATGGCAGGATATCCCTCTAACATGTGGAATGCGCAAATGCGATATCAACTCCCGGGGGACCCGAACAAGATGTTATCAGGCAATAGACACAAGAAAGAAGTCAAGCGACGCACAAAAACAGGTTGTTTGACTTGTCGCAAACGAAGAATCAAGGTGAGCGCAAACGTAGTTTTCGCGGGGCGGAGTCTCTCGCTCGCTTGTGCCCGTCAGACCCCGCCATTTTATTCTGTCCGCTTAAATCCACTTCCCTCTCAACCTCCAACTTTTTTTCCATTCGGTTTTTTTGGAAACTTGCATATTTTCTTGATCTAACCCTCTTTTAGTGTGATGAAGCGCATCCCGTCTGCAGAAATTGTGTGAAAAGCAAACGTGAATGTTTGGGGTACGATCCTGTGTTTCGGACTCAAGCATCTACACCATCAGCTATTCAACCAGCTCCCAACCCTCCACCTTCGCTGGTTGTCAATCCTCAAGGGCCTTCCACTTCATCACTGCCTTCATATCCTTCCTATCCTTCTGCGCCTCCCGGGTACATGCCCGCTTCGTCTCAACCATTCGCACCTTCTCTTCACTCTGAATCGCCCACTGCCTCTGCCGACCAACACGAGCACGGAGCTCCCATTGATTCTTCCTTGGCAACGGTCCATCCATCGAACCACACAGATATGCAGAACACTGGCGTACCACGTCAACAGGGCTCAGAGCCTTCCTACAAAGGTGAGTTTACACAAGTTGTTTTCTGAATCTGCGCATTGCGGCATTGCGCATTGGTAGCTAACAATTTATTTCCACAGCTAAAAATCTCTATGTCAACGACCTCTTCTCTTTGAGGGGAATCGCCCCTCCTCCTCCACACCCTGTCGCAACTCTGCCACCTGGGCGCCTCGAAGAGATCCAAGCAGTTTTCCTGGCCACGTACGCACCTGCGATTGACAAGCTTCTCGAGGTTCGCTGGTATTCAGAGAATGCTCTCTCATTACTCATGGCCGATGCCCAGCTTATGGCAGATTATTCGGCTTTGATCATCGCGTTCAATGAATGGGATCTTCAAGACGGCGAAACACTTGCTCGTTTAGAGAGTTTCGAGGCCTCCATTATCTGGAAAAGCATGTCGTTGTGTCGCCAGGTACCAGACGGGGAAACTGGACAACAGGGACGAGACTGGAATCTCTGTGTGTCCTGCGCACGGTTAAATGTGGTCGAGGCATTGCTTACTTGGAACCACCTGGACTCAAACCCCTTGTCGCGGGAGCTGGTCATGGATGCCGCCAACCCCCCGAACACGCCAGATCAGTTCCAGAGCCGTCAATTGGATTTCTGGGATCAGGTCGGGGAATTCCTCACGCTTTATGACAACGAAGCAAGTTCGGCCAAGCAGATCGACGACACCCTCAGCCGGTGTCGACAATTGCTGGACACATACGAGAACCGTGACATCATATACTCCATTTCTGTCGCCCGTCACCTAGGACAGCGATGGGCTGACTTCCCCAACAGCCTGCCCAAGGTCGGCTACACCACCGAGAAAGAGGCGGGAACCAGGCTCTTCGTTGCACAGAAGTTCCTCGAAGAAGAAGCTGAGGGCAAGGGCACCACCCAAGTCTACAAGAGGATCTGCTGCATGGCAGTCCGGTCATGGTGGGTTGCTCGCGGTTAATCCACTCTATTGTGACCGACATCGCTTTCGAGCGTCTGCATTGCCCCTCATACTCTTTCTTTACTCCTTGCATAATGAGTTCCTAATCACGGATCATTACACCCTCCTCTCGATCCTACGTCCTCACGGGGTTTTCATCTTGTTCTTTTGCGGTCGACAAAATAAAAGCATCATGGTCAGGCGTTATGTTTATTTTGCTCTGAATGATACGATGTTTCCAATTCTTTTTTTTTCTTCTCTTCTCTTTCTATTGGGGGCTTAGGGGACTGGGCAGTGAGCGAGCAAAGCACTACGGCGTTTTGGCCTTTTCTTCCCCCCCCTGGAACATGTGGAATTATCATGATTCTACCTGTCTTGTTGTACATATAGACTGGATAATGTCTGTGACTCGAAATCGTTTCCTTTCTGCTGTAGTTCTTTTTTAACCTTTTAGTTGGTCTTCGATTACCAAGTGAAATATCACTTTATCTGAGATATAACTGTGATCTGGTAAATCAGAGAAGGTAAGGCTTCTGATTCAGCTTTTAGATCTTTCAGATGTCAGCTTTCTCACTTGGACAGACCTGGTCATTGCCCTCTAAACAGCCAGAATTTGAATTCTGTCAACATTCGACAGCTCTCCTTCCTCATCCACCCTTGCTCCCCCCCCCTCTCTTTCTACCTTCCTCTCTTCTCCTCTTCTTTCTATCTCTACCTTTCAAGGTCTCGCAATGACTTCTGTGCTAGATTGGCCAGATGTCTCCCAGCCAAATAAAACGACCACGCTACACCCAGACCCACCGATGGATATGAGCTTAGACATCAAGCGAACCGACCAAAGACGTCAATGACTACTGGAATTGCTCACTCGCAAGATTCGTGAAAAGTTCCTTGACCCAGCATCGGTTCGTTGACTCGCGGGCTTCATAATAGCCATGGCGGAAACAGTGTCTCCCGAGAGATAACTGAGGGCTCTCTGTCGCATTGCTAGCCTTATTGTGAGGTTGTGAATGTCTACTTCTAGAGGTGGATTGTGCTGTTTGCACCCTACTCACAAACCCTCTCAAGGCGGATACTAATAGAGACTTCAGCGCGTAACACCTTCCCATCTCTATACGGTAGTTCTTTGAATACAGGGAGCGGATTGTGGCCGTATTGCATGTCACGGAAGCGATTGTTAGATCGAATGTAACAAACTCCCGCAGGCGATACGATGACATAGGAAGTTCCTCGTGGCAACAGGACTTTCACATCACTTGAGTTTGATAGACACGTACAATCCGTGTTTTCATCGAATATGCTTTTGGGACATAACAAAACCCCAATTGCCGGACATGATATTCCAGAGCCTAACCTTTTTGTGCTAAAGCTCACTCGGCTGGTTCCAGAACTTTAACAGGTGTATTGAGCTCCTGCCTGTTGAAGCGCATGGTCCGAGAGATGAAATCAGAGTGCCGAGCTCAGAAGTGAAATGCCAACTGAAAAATCATCTTCTGTCATTTTAAGACAGTCAATGGGTCCCTTCTCAAACATCGGCACCAGTTGAGTTCAGAACTTTCAAATTCAAACTCCTTATTGCAATGATAAATGAAGGCGACGGTCTTGGTGAACTTCGACAAACGTGGTGTGGCATGCGTCGTGTGATGTCAAAAAGCCTGAAGAAATCAAACCGAGAGAGAAGCACCAAATGCAAGCAGTCAATGTATTCTCTCGTTGCCCAACGTCGCTCGGCGGCGTCTCACGCCCTAGTTCGTCCATGCAACTGAAAATTACGAAGCAGTTATCCCTTGATGAATTCATCGTGCGAACTTTCTCTCGAATCAAACCATAGGCCGACGCAGAGAAGACCCTATAGCTACTTGAACGAACGGAGATGGCAATAACTGGCTCGTTGTCCTCGGTCCACCCGAATCAACGACCTAAAAGCTAGACGACGACCATGGCAATCTAGGAGTAGAATACGTGTTTCAGTGGGAAGGAACTATCTCATTGAGTTGTTCTCGCAGACCCATGACATGATCACATGCTTTCTACAATTGGGGAGACCAAGATTGGGCCGCATCTTCCACCAATAAATCCACCAGCAAAGGAAAGCTGGCTGATCCTTTGATTCCACTCCCTTCACCTAGGGCAAGAAGCCTAGCAGATAAGTTTAGGACTAGCTTCTTTCACTGTTTAGACTCTTCTTTTACTTTAAGACCTGAGTGGATGAAATTCCCGTGACCATTCACAAATGTTGCAAACTATTATCAAATGCTTCTAGGCGTAGAATGACTTTCATCTTGAAGCACTACCTCGTAGACGCAAAACCAAGGGTCTCAACCCGAATCCTAACCTCTCCTACTTCACCCTGAAACAAAAACCCAACATCCCTCGTTGAATCAACCAGTTCCACCTCCCTACGCACAAACCGACTCTGATCAGGACTACCCCCCGTTGTCTCAAGCCCAGAGCCCGTACCAGGTCGATCCTCATCCTCACTATCCTCGTCCCATTCAACAACGCCCTCATCGCCAATTTCTCTCTCCACGGGATCCCACTCATCCGTCTCCCAGATCAGCCGGAATCCAAACGCCGGTAATCCGAAGAGCCGCGACACAAGCGCCTTGATCTGATACGTATCAAACGAACCAGGGATTTCCTTGATTTGACACTTGGATTCGTCGTTTCCAAGCGGTAAACGGAACGCCATCTTGACCAGTCGCGCTGCTACGGATCGCGGATGGATGACTCTCGCGCCCGAGGAATCCGACACAACGGCTCTTGTGATGGTCGGCTCGACGTACAGTTCACACAGTTCACTGTACCGTGGGTGTGTAGCGAGGATGACGGGTTCCTCTTCCTCGGATGTGGCGGATAGTTCTTTGCCGATAAGGGACAGATAGTACATCTCTGCATTGGAGCGGTCTTGTGGTGAGATGGTGCTGTAGTTTAGCGTAGTGAGGGAGGACGGGAAGCGAGATAGAGTTAGCATGAAGGCTTCATCGACGGTCATTGGGTTGGAGGCTTCTGAGACAGAGGGTGGGAGCGGTGGTTGGTCGAAGAGGGGATTTGCGGTGATGCGGAGGGTGGTTAGGCCTGGGAACACTGTGGGGAGTTTGTTGAGGACGGTCCAGGAGGTGATGTTGTTGCGGGATAGATCGAGGGAGCGGAGAGTTGGTGGGAATTGGAAGTCTGGTGTTGTATCTGTGGGGGTTTGGTTTACGGTATTGATGCCGTTCCCACGAATGGAGAGATGCTCCAATTTTGGAAGCGTGGCGAGATGTCGAAGAGCTGAAATCGAGGTGATCTCGTTGTGCTCGAGGGTTAATATTGTTATAGTGCTAGGGAGTGGACAGGTGATCTCCGAGAGCTGGTTCGCAGACGCTGTAAGAGATGTCAAGCCAGGGAATCGATATACAATGGCAGCAATCTATCTCCGAAGTCAGCTTTGCTTGAGATTATCTGTGGTGGGTAGGAAGCATACTTCATCCCAGCTGAGGAGGGTTTCTTCTAAATGTAGCTCAATGATCCCCTTGAAGGTCAGATCATCCTCCACAGCTTGGAACCGGTTTCCGCTAATCTCCAGTCAGCTCTGCTATTGATGAGTTGATCAAATCCGAGACTTACTTCAACTTCAGCTTCTTCAAGTGCTTAAGCTGGTTGCAAATATCCCAAACATCGCGCCATCGACTCAGTAAGCTTCGACTGAGATCAAGTTCCGTGATCTTGGGACAAGTTTCTCCAATCTTTTGTGCCTCTACGCAATGTGAGACTTGAGCCTGGTTGTAAGATGCAAGGACCCCAACAACCCGTAAACCATCAAGCAAGACAATGCGTAACTCTTGGAGCTCAGCGAGCTGTTCCCGAATTTTGTCGAAGCCAACTTCTTCAACAACCTTGCCGCTAATTTCAATTGCCTTGCTTTGAGCTGTTGCACTACTGACTGAGGCATTCTGGGCAAGGCTGTTCTCGAACTCCGAAGCATACTTCTCCCGCAGGGCTTCTAGAAAGCTCAAAGGCTGGTCTGAAGGCCTGGAGGGGCGAATGAAAGACCCCGCTGTGGGATGTTTGCTTTTACCTGAATCTCGGTCAGCAATAATCCGGATGCCTCATTGAAAAATTCATACATGAGAAGTATCTGATTCCTTTATGCGCTCCTGAGTGTTTGCCTCGACTTGCATCGTCCCATTCGACACCCAACCAGTCACCGATGGTCCCTTGAACGGTGCCCACATATCGGATAGTACATAAGTGACCATCAAATGACCGACGTTGACCTACAGATGGGATACTCATAGCTCAAACTAGGCCTAGCAGGTCATTTGTCCAAGCGTTTTGGGGAATGCTGCTTTGTACTGTGATCCATGATAACTATCGCCCAAATCTCCGGCTTATATAATCAACAGCAGTTCAGGGCTGGGCTTCAGTTGGATTATTGGCTGAAGACCAGGCACATTCCATGAAATACTACACATAGCATAGTAAATATGGTGTATTAGGTCTTAATACAGCTAAAAGCCTCTATTTTGATAGCTTTTCAATAAAACAAAGTCACGGAAGGGATAAGTTTTGGGATGGGAAGTGAAGCAGCATCCATATTTGGAAGGCGGTCTGTGTGGATAATTTGGCTCAATACTTTTGGAGGTCCGAACATGGATTCCTTGCATTCAAATGCTAAGACAATCGTTAGTGACTAAAAGGAGGATCTAACTAGTTTATTGTAGACTTGTGGAAAGCTCAATCTGCCTTTTTGGTATTAAGACCACCGCCGCAGTGCTAGTTGTCAAATCTGACGGTGCTGGTGTTGGCCAAAATAGGAAGGCGGTCACAGCAGATACCGCCTTCGCAAAACACCTGGACAGTCAACTTCACTAACTTTCTTCAAGCTGTAGCGCCGACAAGATGGATTACCAAGTACGTACACCCTGACCTGGCACATTGCCATGTCTTTCACCTAAATACACATCGTACTCACGCAACCCCCAGAACCGAGCAGGCTCGAAATTCGGCGGCGGCGGCGTCGCCTCCAAATCCGCCACCAATGCCGATCGACGCGAGCGGCTGCGCAAGCTCGCCATGGAAACAATTGACATCGAAAAAGATCCATACATCTTCAGGAACCATCTGGGCACATTCGAGTGCCGACTCTGTCTCACAGTGCACCAGAACGACGGCTCATACCTCGCCCACACACAGGGGCGCAAGCACCAAACGAACCTCGCACGACGAGCGGCGCGTGAGGCGCGCGAAGGCAAGAACCAGGACCCATCGTCTCTGCCCGGTGTCGCGGGCGTGCAGGTCAAGAAGCAGTTGATCAAGATCGGCCGGCCGGGATACAAAATCACCAAGATCTTGGACCCTCTGACGCGTCAGCAAGGCCTGTTATTTCAGCTGCAGTTCCAGGAGATCACTCCGGGTGTTACACCCCGTGTGCGCTTCATGTCAGCTTTTGAACAGCAGGTTGAGACGCCCGACAATAAGTACCAGTATTTAGTTGTTGCTGCGGAGCCTTACCAGACTTGTGCGTTCAAGTTGCAGGCTAGGGAGATTGATCGTCGGGATGAACGTTACTGGACTTGGTTCGATGAAGATAGCAAGGAGTTCTGGATTCAGGTTATGTTCAAGACTGAGCGGGAGGAGATATTCAGTGGTGTGCCTGGTCTGGCGCCTATGCAGACTTGACCTTTTTTATTTCGATGCCCTTTCTGCTCCTTTATCTGTCTTGCTCTGATTTTTTTTTCGGACACGCATCAAAAAGATGGTGGTTGGCTCTATGGCGGGAATCGGAAATAGGCGTTTCGGGGTTGTTCCATGTTGATACTTAATTTTTTTTTTCTGATTCGCGAGCGACTCCCTTTTCATGACAAGGAAATTCAATTCTGATGGCAGACATCATCAACGAATTTCTCAAGTTTCATTTAGCCCCCTTTCTCACTACCTTTCCCTCTTCTTCTCAAATTAAAAAAACAATTTAAAATTCAGGGCTCAGAGACTACTGACGTATACAGGAATGGTCCGCTGTTTAGTCTTGTGAGAAGGGCAGATGTAGTCAGAAAAGACAAATGTATTGTATTCTTTTAGGGTAATATCCTGACTATCCTAAAATCAGTTGGGTCTCTCCGAAGGCAAGTAATGTGTGTATTGTCTTGAGAAGGATGCAAGGCGTTAGATACGTATGTATCAACAGGTGAAACCGAAGATGGGTCATGATTCGGGAAAACAACATCGCGCTGATATGCTCAATGATGATGGGCAACGAGGGGAAAACAAAACCGAGCTTTTTTTTTCTGACCGACCAAAGAGCACCTGAAGAACGAAGGATGCAAGCCCTGCTTGCTTCCGTTGTGCTCAGGAATCGGTCAGTCTCGGAACACAAAAACCAAACCTAGTTGGTTTGGAAGGCATTGAAGGCCTTATAGGTGTAGCCGATGAACGGCAAACTCATCTCGGCTTCCTGTGAGTCGGGCATGGCACGAGCCTGGGCACGGTGGATCGCGCTGGTATCCTCCTGAGGAATTTCATCAATCGGGAAGTACGACACATCGATGTTCGAGCTGAGGCGCGGCTCGAAGGGAGCACGGATGCTGCGCAGTTGGTCCCAAACAACACCCCTGAAGAAGGGGTGGTTTTTGATTTGTGTCGCGCCTCCGTGCTGACCACCTTCGCTGCCAATTCGGTGATCTGGGTCACACAAGAAACTAAACTATTCCGTTAGCGGATGCTCCTTGCGATTTTTCTATGGACATGTGAAAACTTACCTTCGGATCAGTGCCTCAGAGTCACGCCCAAGAACCAGTTCCTCGGGGAAGTACAAGCACTCTCTCCAGTTAACGATTTTCCGGTAGGTGTCATTTGTGTCTTCAGCACAGAATGGAGGCCAGCCCACAAGACATTCAAACATGATAGCACCCACCGACCACCAATCGCAAAGATAAGTGTAGCCTTGACCGTTGAAAATCTCAGGAGCAATATAATCAGGAGTACCGACAGTCGAATAGGCCATGGCACGACGAGACTTTCGCCAGGTGTTGATTTGACCACGATTGGACACTGTCAGATTAATGGCATCATTGAAGTATCCAGAGTTGCGGTTCCTATCTTTGGAAGTGGAGTTCTTGAGAAGGTTTTGGTAGTAAGCATTGTCATGGGTCTTCTTGCCTCCGGTTGAAAGACCGAAGTCAGTAAGCTTGACGTGTCCACCGCGGTCAAGCAAGATGTTGTCAGGTTTGATATCACTGTACAATATCCATTAGTACGAATTGTCGAGTGTGTTGCATGTGCGCCTTATTCTTTCTTCGTTGGGTAGAAAAAGAAAATGCACATGGCAGTCTCCCAACTCGCAACCAAAAAACTAAATATCACTTACCGATGGAGGAAACCAAGCTTGTGTACGGCTTCAATTGCCATCACGATCTCAGCCATGTAGAACCGTGTAATATCCTCCGAGAAGATCTCGTACTTGATCAACATGGTCATCAAATCACCACCGGGCAAAAACTCCATCAACAAGTAAAGGTACGCAGCGTCCTGGAACGACGCGTGAAGCTTCACAAGCCAAGGGTTGTCCTTCGAATCCGCCAGAATATCACGCTCGGCACGGACGTGGGCTAATTGGTCCTTCTTGAACATTTCGGTCTTGATCAACGACTTGAGGGCGTAAACCTTGCCATCAGTCTTGCGCTGCACGAGCTTGACCTCACCGAAGGCACCCTTTCCAACAATTTTGATGGTCTGGAAATTTGCCGGTGTCTCCTTTGTGCGCAAGAACCGAAGGAAATCAGACTCTCTTTTAGAAATCAAGTTGGCATCCTGGAGCTTCTTTTCGGTGGAGATGTTGGGTTCACGGATAGTTTTGTCAAGTTCCGCTGATCTGTAGGGGCGAACATCATAGGCGTAAGCCACAAATTCGGGACGGGATTCCAGGGGATCCATTTGGGATATGGATACTTACCGCATGTTACGGTCACGGGCCCGTTCGATATTCTCGTGGAAGAACACAGTCACCAGCTCCTTTGCAGCCTTGCCTCGCTTGTGCGCATTTTCGGAGTATCGGTCGGGGAAGCGCTGCAACTCTTCATTCTCGGGGGGCGGACGAGGGCTGCGGGGCACGGGGGGGATAAGGTGTGATGCTTGGGCTTGTGACTGAGCGGGGGAGCCGCCGGCGGTGCGAGGCCGCTGGGCCGGGGAGCCAGTTCGATTATTGAAAAACCCTGCACGGTTTGCGTTGAGATCTTGGTTGGAGAATTGTTGGATCAGACTGTTGGTGCCATCGGGGTAGCCCTGGCGTGCTTGGTAGGCGGGCTGGGGCGATTGCAATGCTTGCTGCTGCGCATACTGCTGCTGCTGCTGCTGCTGATGTTGCTGGGCAAACTGCGGCTGCACCTGGTTGGGAGGGTAGTTGTTGGGCATAAAGTAGCCCGGAGCGTAAGCTGGATTGGAGGGATCGACGTGTTCCTGGGCCCCCTGAGTCTGATAGATGGGCTGGGGGAAGGCAGAGGGGGTAGTGGGATAGGCTCGACTGCTGGAATTGTAGTTACGGTCATAGCCGTAACTCAAGTTGTTTCGAGTGTTGTTGTTGGGATCCATCTTGACTCTAACTCCCAACGGACTTTTCAAGGTAGATGGGGGGAGAAGAAGGTCGGGAGGGAGGGAGTTGGAGGACGAGGGCGGGGAGTTTAAAGAAGCGGTGGCTCAGGAGGCAATCTAGCCCCAGTGTGACTGGTTAACTACTGTTTACATGCGACATGTTTACGCTCCTGAAACTATGAATCAACTATGTGTATTCCCAATGTTTGTGTTACTTTTCTTTTGATCCTAAGATTTACTGGAAGTGGGCGGCTAAATGGGTTGAAAGGGGGATTTGTCAGTTTATCAAGTGTGATACTGGGCTAATATTGATAATGTACAAGATGTATAAGCATATCCTGTATGTAGTATCCAGTATATCACAGCTCTTTAGAATCAGCCCTTTAAGATCACTGGAATTCAGGGCATAATGTACAGCCCTGGCGGTTTTCTGCAACTTCCTAGCTTTCTCCTTCTGATTTGGTACACAGCTCTGGCCGCTTTTAGGGGAGCCCCTGGATATGTTTACATAGCTTGTATCACGTGAACGGCTCAGCCCAATCGCTAGCCCTATTTATAGACACTGGTTTGTGTTAAGAAGATATTGGATTTTGGTAGGTACAAGTCGGTTCCCATGGGCCAACGACCTTAAAAGATGAGTTCTTGTCTTTTACCTCATCTCCTAGTTGGACTGGATTCTCACCACCTGCAGTCACCACCATACTATACATACCACGCCATTGGAACCCGCGCAAGTTTGATTCCCCGCAACACCATCCCCTCTTTCCTATCAGATAATCTCACAACCGCGTCAGTTTGGCTCCTGTTCTGCCCTTTTGGAGTTTGACACCCAGACCATACTTCTTTCTCCTGCGACATTCAACCGTGGTCAGACTATCGTATCTCGGTTTGATGGGTCACTATGCTCAGCTCATCACTAAAGAGATGGATCTTGCCTCACATAACGGCTGCAGCTTGTTCAGTAGACATAGAAGTGGTTAATTCATATTTCAGCACCACACGCCAGTTATTAATCGGGGAACTAAAGTCAGCGTACGGGTAGTGAGCTAGAATACCAACGTTTTTTAAAGTTGAAGCCACTTCTCATCACCACAGGTGAGGTACTAGATATTACTAGCTATTTGTAAGAAATGGTTATATACACAGATCATGAATCCAGCTGTCGGCATCTTCTTTTCAACGCTCACCCGCTCCACTAGGCGGTTGCCCGTCATGATCTGCCTGTGTCAACCTCTACCGCATGGACCACGGCGTTAGGACACAGCCTATGCTGTACTCCACATTGTGTCTCTACCCCTGACATTTAAGAATATCGATAAGGAGAAATCCATGTTTGTATTCACTGCCCCTACAATCTTGACTCCAACTTGCTATCGCATGTGTTCGTAAGTCCCATGAATTTTAGATCCGAACGGAAGGCTTGGTCGAGGGCTTACGAGCCCGGTTCTAGGCCAATATATAGAGCCAACAGTATCGCTCACCTCGATGAAACTAGCGGCCTAGCTAAGTGCCCTACACCTTCTTGTACGGGTCATGGGTGTCAATGTGCATGCCCATTATTTTGATGGAAATGCCGTTTTGCTTTACCTGGCTGCCACACAAAGTGTAGACTCTAGGCCATTGCAGTTGTTTAGAGAGATGGAAAGTGATGAGGGCCTAACTCTGCATTTTCTCTGAAAACGTAACAAGATATGATCGTCTTGAGGGTTGGACTAGAAATAAACCAGTCATGGCAAAATGTAAATCTAGAACCTAGTCACACGAATTAAAGCCTGCAAGTTAGCAAGGATGGTCGTGTCATTCAGTTCTCTGGAAATACAAGTTGACTGTGTTTTAGCGAATAGGATTAAACCACACTGTGTGTAGTTTCTCATCATTCTATGCCTCTTCTTAGACATTAGTTATTCTCTGTGGCAAGGAGAAAGCTTTGTGAGGACCGCAAGGTCATGCCATGTTGTCAGGTAATTGCTTCTTCTATAATTTGCCTGGATGATTGAACCCTGGGAAGAAACCAAAGTGGCCCCAAAACTGAACATCCAAGCGAAGAGGCTGAAATGGCGTTTGCATTTCACATCTCCACATCTCACAAGAGGCGACCCCGGCGGTCTGACTTTTATGCAGATAGTCACGTGAAACGGGATAAGGTGATGCCGAGATAACAATTTTCCCCGAACGAGCATCCCCCGGGTGTACTTTAATTATACGCAAAGACCATTTCTCCATCATACAACTCAATGGCAGACTCTTCGAGTTCTGCTGCACCTTCGGGCGCTAGCAAGCCCCAGGCGGCCCCGAAACCGCCTAACCCAGCGTTCAAAATGATGGGTACATCTCTTTTCCCTAGATCTTAACGGTCCAATAAATGCTAATTCTGCTACAATCAACAGGCCTCCCTAATATGCGATTCAAGCTGCCTTCTCGCAATTGGATGATCTTCCTTACTATTACTGGATCTTTCACCGGTGCTCTTATCTACGATCGTCGGGAGAAGCGTCGCGTGCAACAAAAGTGGTCGGAGCTTGTGGCTCACATTTCGAAAGAAACCCTGCCAGTTGACCAGATGCGTCGGAAATTGACGGTATACTTGGCTGCGCCACCAGGAGATGGTTTGCGTGTGGCCCGAGATCACTTCAAGGAATATGTTAAGCCCATCCTAGTGGCCGCGGCGTTGGACTATACGGTGGTTGAAGGGCGACGTGAGGGCGACGTGAGAGCCAACACAGCGGAAAACATTCGCAAGCTACGCCGAAAGGCCGGAGAACCCAGCTCGGCCGTCGAAGAAGCCGGCGTGGATGCGGTCGTTGCTGCCACCCGGGCACACATTGGGGTTACGGACGAACCGGGCCCCAAGGGCGACCTGATCATTGGCCGACACACCTGGAAGGAGTATATTCGGGGCTTACACGAGGGCTGGCTTGGCCCATTAGATGCACCACCTCCACCTCTGGAGGAGTTGACCGCGGACACACCGAAGGACATCAGTGCCGAGAAACTCGTTAGTCTCGCGAACCCTGAGATTGCGAGCATCGATTCCCCCGAGTTCTCCGAAGAGAAGAAAGACGAGATCCCCGAGCCTAAGATCGAGGAACCGGAGAAGGAAGAAGAGAAGCCTGCTAAGCCAGCCGGCCCTACTCCTGCATACATTTACCCCAGCGAATACTCCTCCGCCATCCTTCCCCACACCATCCCCCAATCCTTCGACAGCTCTATCCCAGTCGAATTCCCTCATCTCCTCGGCTTCCTGAACACCCCAATCCGAGTTTACCGCTTTCTTACACAACGGCATCTTGCCGAAGATGTCGGGCGCGAAGTTGCTGCGCTTGTCCTCGCGAATAGCGCTCGGCCTTACCATGAAAACACTCTCAGCGTAGACTCCGAGCCCACTGCCGCCAACGTTGACCCCACCCCTTCTCCTGATAGCTCGTTCACCGACCTTACTCCTCGCAACCATGAGCAGCAGACCGTAATGGAGGCTGCTGAAAGTGAGTGGCACAAGTCTGTGCACAAGCGCGACGAAGATGGAAATCTGAAGGAGCGCGAGTGGCTCGATGATGTTGTGCTTGATCAGCGCATCGCCTCGCGCATGCAGCGCGCCACCCTTTCCCTGGAAGATGAGGCACGTTCTCAACGCATCGCCGAGCAACAGGAATACATTCTTGGCGAGGAGCGGCCGGCTCCCGTGCCTTTCTGGAAGCGCATGTGGATCGATTACGGCTATGGTGAGAGTGACGAGGTCCTGAGACGTAAGCCCATTTTGGGTAACATCGACGGAGAAGACGTACAGTAAAGAGATCTTCTGACATTAATTACCTGATCTTCAAATTTTGAAATTTGATCATATATTATGATGAATGGTAATGGGATGGATTCTTCCCTGGCATTCAGCACGGCATGTGTTGGGCTTTTTTGTTTAGCATAATTCGACTCCCTCCTCGGCTTGTATATTAAAGGCGTTTGATATCCCGTTTTAGAAATGTACATCGATGGAAAGCAAGAGTTGGAATTTTGGGGTAGTTCTTTCTACGTTTAGTCCTTGCTTGATTGGCAATAGATACTGGTACATTGGATTCCCCCAGCACCTGTATACTCACTCCACTTGGCATCGGCCAACACCAGAGTATATTTGCTCATCCCGTGTCTTTCTCTATGTTTTTTTCCTTCTTTCGTTATCCCAATTCCTGCAACAGCGTAATATTGCTAGGCAGCTAGACAACTCATGATCGAAGCGGGAATGGGGGTGGGAGTCCACACGGTCCTCCGTTCGTATGAGATCAATTCAGCTCGAAAACAGAAGACTCGGGCCACTTCTTGTTCGCCTTCTCGGCGAACGCAGTCTTGTCACTGCCCCACTGGTTCAGAATGTCCAAAGCGGTGACAGCCTCATCTATAGTGATCTCGGGGGAATTGAGAGTGGCAAGCAGGTCTTGCTCGCACTGCGGCTTGGATTCGGGGTTCAAAATTTGACGACCAGACAGGCCGGCGTGCACGTGCGCGACGCTTTCCTTGTTAGCCGAGAGGTAAGACTCGTTCCACTCTTCGAGCTTCTGGGTCTTTGGGAGCAGCTTGTCAAATTCGGCATTGACGACCTCGGCAACCTGCTCGGGAAGAGGCTCGGCAAGGCGTTCGAGAGACTTGCGGAAGCGAAGCAATTGAAGGTGGAGAGTAGGGTTGGAGGGATCGATAGAATGAGCGGCTACAAGGCACTTGACGGCAAGGAGGTGCTTGTCTATAAACGTATTAGCATGAGGGTCCTGTCCAAGAGTGTATCAAATTAACTTACTCTTTCTAGAGTAAACCTCAAACCCGAGGCACTGGGCCTCGATGTTCTGAGGGCTGGACTCAAGCAACGGCGTCAAGAACTTCATGGCATCCTTCAGGGGATCCTGAGTCTGGACCAAAGTGTTACCCAGAGGATCCTCATCTTCCTTCTTGGCCTCTCCATCAGTAGGCTTGGCAGTAGCGGCGGCCGCTTTTCTTGCGGCACGCTTGTCGGCCTCGATCTTTTCCAAGCGCTGCTGCTCCTTCTTGGCCTTCTTGAGGGCCTTCTTCCTCTGATTTTCGTCAGGAGAATCGAGTCCATTAACTCCGCTGGGCATCGGTCCGTGCACAAGATCCGGCTGATCATGGAGAAGTAGATGAGCCTTGACGGCACCGAGAGCCATTCTTGTGTAGAAGGGATGCTCGCGCAGACGGTCTTCCCAGCGCACCATATCGACGTAGGCTCTGATCATTCCCTTGCGGAGAGAAAAGCTGTGGAAGTCGAATTGGTCCTCCTGCCAGGTATCAAAGATGTTGTGAACCGAGTGGAAGCGCTTCAGGGCAAGACCAAGCTTCTTTTGTCGGAGGAATGCCTCGGCGTCCTCAGTCAAGAACCAGGTGCACTGCATCTCGTGCAAATCACCTAATGTGCCACCGACAGCCTCGTTGCGAGTGAACTTGCTCATGAGTTCTAAACCTTTCTCATTATCGTTGTTTCGGAGCACGTATTTGGCCGCCTTGGTGTTGATATGACGATCCTTCTCATCTAGCAGACGAGCCTTCTCCATCTCTTCTGCTGCCTTCTTGGGGTTTCCGTAGTGCTTCCAAATCCGCGCCTTGGTCATCTGATATTCCACGGCCTTTGGTGACAGCTCAATGGCCTTCTCAACGTTCTCCATGGCCTTGGGGAGGTTGCGGCTGAGGTGATAGTTGTAGTGTTGAGCCAGGAAATAGTATGTGCATGATAGGAACTCGTTTTTGTCCCCGTTCGACTCTGCGGAGCCGTTTGCTGCCTTTTCAGAGAGGTATCCCTCTACCAATTCTTGTACCACATCACGCTTGGCCAGGTTGACGTAAAGATGCTTGATGTTCACGAATAATGAAGGAACGCCCTTCTTTAGCATGCGCTGGAGATAGGTGTCAGCGGCCTGCTTGAAGTCCTCTCCTTCTAGAAAATCGAGAGGAATGCGACGAGCAGCATCACAGCGGGGGTTTCTCTCCACCCACTCATCGTATAGAGCCTTCAATGCCTTGTGGTCGCTATCGGGAATGCCCTTTGCCTTGATCAAGCCATTGTAGTAAATCGAGTTGTCTGGGTTGCGATCAAGGAGAGCTGCATAAGCGGACTCCGCATCGGCCTTGCGGTCCAGTCGCAAAAAATAATCTGCCTTCATCTCCATGACTGCGAGTACATCAGTGCATCGGTATCCAACAGCCTCGAGGTGCTCTAGAGCTCTTTCGATGTTTCCAGTCTCCGCAATGATTGTGTTCTTGTACAGGGTGGCCTCCGAGTTCTCCATATCGGCGACATGTGGTATGGCACCCTTCAAGGTGTCCTCATAGGTAGTAAGAACCTTCTCGGCTTCTGCCAAGTCTCCGGCCAAGTGATGAGCGATTGCGAGTGCCGTCCAATTTTGGCGGAAGCCAGGACGAGTTTGCAGCATCGCACTGCGGCTCTTAATGTATCCCTGGTAATCCCGCATCTGCATCTGGAGCAGTGCCAGATCACGCTGAATGGGTTGCGATTCGGGCTCGAGACGCAGGGCAAACCGGTAAGCTTTGATTGCCTCCTCGTAGTTCTTCTCCTGGCGCAATAGCAACCCGTACACGTGCCAGGTGATGTGCGACTTCATATCATTCTGGAGAGCCTTCTTGGCGAGCGCAAAGGCTTCCTCCAATTGCCCTATCTGACTCATATTCAGGGCCTTCATAGCTTGTGTATCGCCATGCTTAGGGTTTTTGCGAAGGACCTGGTCTGCTACCTTGATGCCTATAGAGCAAAACGTTGTTAGACAGGCGGAGGTGGTTTAAGGACACTTCAGAGGCCAACCTTTCTTATACTGCTTCATTTCAAAGTGGTGAACCACTTGACGAAACAAGGAATGGTCCTTGGTGCTCAATGTTTCCGGCATTGTGGGCGGTGCTGACGTCGAGGGACCTGACTTGTGCGAGTAAGGAATCGATGTGTGCGGGGGGCGACTTCTCCGAGTCCAATCTTGGCAGAGCTAATGGGCCGATAAGATAGTGTGCACCAACTTCTTCAAGACGCAGGTAAAGCAGGCTAATTTTTAGTTTTAGACTAAGTTGAGCACACTCATTCATTGATTCTATGCTTATAGTTGGCATAAGGTGTAAGATGCATTTCTCGTGATATGCATGTGGTTTGTTATGTACATGTAATGCAACTTTGGGGTGACATGAAAGAGGACAGCGAAAAAAAAAACGCACTCTTATTAAATATGAACCTTCTATATGCTGAAATTGAGTGGTTTGCTCATTTACTCGTTGGTTCTCAAAATCGCCCACAGTCTATGGCACAAGCCACTTCTCTCAGGTAGCATCTCCGGACTATTTATCATGCCCCTCCCCCCTTTCCACACAACGTACAGCCCAGTCTACTTTATTGCAAGCAAGCGAGGATGCAAAACGACAGAAAAGCTCATGCCGAGATTGTTCAAATATGTACAATTTGGGGTGAGGCCCTCCGAGTCTAAAGAAGAGTTGAGTTAGATGGCAATCCTAATTGCGGCACTCTTCTGCCAAAGGAGCTATTCCTGATGCAAATGGCGCCAGCTATCGAGAGCTTCTTCCCAAGTAGAAGACAATCCACTGCACTTTTCTGACACCATCCCCCACGTTCGGGCCCGTATGATCTCCTCAATAGTGCGCTCATTGCGAATTAGATTGGCCAATGACTCAGTCCGTGCTTCGCGTGGAAAGAAGCGCGCGGAGTACGGGTCAAGACGCTCATCAATTTCCCGTTCTCGGTCTCGGGCGGATTCTGTTTGCCGCAGAATCAAGTCAGGATCGTCGGGATCCGGACTGGTAGCCACGCCAGCGCAATAAGTGAGAACGTCTGATCTAGTTTGCCATGACGGAAATAGCACGTTATCCTTGAAGCTCTGGCAGGCTGCGGAGTTGATCCGCGATCTAGAGTCGGTTTGTCGCAGTTCTGTTGATGACGGGTCAAATCCTTCCTGGGCTGGTGTTATCAACGCGTTCAGGTTCTGTGTAATCGAGTCATCGATGGTAGATCTTGAGAGTCGGAGAAAGTCTAACCAAAAAAATAGAAAGTCATTATAAGCTATGGCTGATATCAAGATGTCACATGTTAAACGAACCTCTGAGTAGTCTCTCGTCAAAACAGAACCGAGGCGTCAGCACCGGAGCAGCTGTGGATGAGGCGTGTGACATTCTCCCATGAATTTCCTCCCCAGATTCTCGACTCGATGTTATCCAGAACCACTCCAGTTTGCAAATGAGGATCTGTGCAGCGTTGTTGATGGCGGTAGGTCGTCTGACGGTGTTGTATAGCGTAGCGTTGATATTTTGTGATTTTGAAGTATGTTTCACGGAGATGCAGTAGGATCTGCTAGAATCACAAGTAACGAACAGATAGTTGTTGTCAACATTCGTAAACAGCCCGAACAAGCTCTCTGTAGACCACCGGCGTCATGCCGTAATCAGCCCCAAGCTTCGGGGCTGTTTGGGGACTAGCGCATTCAATTTAGTGCACGTGATAACGCGTGTTCGCGTATAGGATTGCGTCCCTGCTTATGACAGATGATCTTTCCTGAGAAAGAGCTCTTACATATGCCCTCGAATTCCTTTATTGCAAGTTTTCACCATTGAATCTGGAAATAGCACAACAAGATGCCTGAGCTAGCAGAGATCCACCGCATTGTGCATTTCATTCGTGAGCACCTGGTTGGGAAAACGCTGTCCAAAGTACAAGCCCAACATGACGATATTATATTTGGCAAAGTTGGCACTAGTGCCACCGAATTTCAAAAGGCAATGCAAGGGAAGAAGATTGTGGGAGTAGGCCAACAAGGGAAATATTTCTGGCTCACAATGTCTTCACCACCACACGCTGTTATGCACTTTGGGATGGCTGGCTGGCTGAAGATCAAGGATGCCGACACATACTACTATCGAACCGACAAGCCTGTAGATCAGGAATGGCCTCCTAAATATTGGAAGTTTCTACTGGAGACAAACGACGGGCCGAAAACAGAGGCAGCATTTGTGGATGCCCGCAGGCTTGGTCGCATTAGACTGGTGGATTGCCCCGCTGGCGAGATTCGAAATCACACTCCGCTCAAGGAAAATGGGCCAGATCCAGTCGCCGACAAAGATACTGTGGATGAAGCATGGTTGACAGACAAACTGGGAAAGAAAAAAGTGCCGATCAAGGCCCTTCTGCTAGACCAGGCGAATATCAGTGGAATCGGAAACTGGATGGGGTAGGTCTTCCGGTCAACCAAAAACAAGAAATGAGTAGAAGCTGATTATTTTCAGCGATGAGATTCTCTACCATGCCAAGATACACCCAGAACAGTACAGCAATACCTTGAATGATGATCAGATCAAGGCGCTGCACTCTGCCGTTCACTACGTCTGCTCCACATCTATTGGTGTGCTGGCAGACTCAGAGAAGTTCCCCGAGCACTGGCTTTTCAAGCACCGCTGGGGCAAGGGGAAGAAGAACCAGCCCGCCGCCTTACCCAATGGAGATAAGATCACTTTCCTCACCGTTGGAGGTCGAACTAGTGCCGTTGTTCCAGCTGTCCAGAAGAAGACTGGCCCTGTCGCCAAAGAAGTTGACGAAGACATTGCGAAACCCACACCAGCCAATTCCAAACGGAAACGGGTGGCAATAAAGAAAGAAAGTGACACCGAAGCAGAAGATATGACACAGACAAAGAAGCGAGAAACCCCAAAGCGAAAGGTCCCATTGAAAAAAAGTGAGTGCTTTGAAGAGGAGAAGCCAAACCCCGCTGTTCTTGGTACAAGACGATCTGCCCGTACATCTAAGTGAGGAGGAGTATACAAAACTCAGGTAGTTATATCAGTGATTGTATCTGAGTCTACAATATTTGTCAGGGTGCGGG